GTGCTATGTGGACAGGGACGAGGAGTCTTCACGACGCACGTTGCAGTCCGCCCATTCAGGTTCCCTGTGCCACAACGCCATGGTCAGTAGTTCTTAGGAGTCAAAGCGGCGCAACGTCATCAGCGCAGGACTAAAAGTTGATGTTCCTTGCTCGCATGGATAATAAATAGAAGCAGTTGGCGACGAGAACATGTCTCCAAGACATGGTACATCACAATGCCGTATGATGAGATGACTATGGCAGGAATACTCGAGCTTCAAGACACCGTCATCTCTGTTGACTGTCGAAAGTCTCCACATTTAGACCACAGCTGGAGAGGTACAGCATTGCGCTATGAGATTGTGAGGAAGTGTTGATGTCAATAATAGCTGACCCCAGCCACAGGTCCCCCACCGTTCTCCTCAAGCCTCAATTTCCGTATTCATGCAAAACACACTGCTCCGTTCCACTTACGTCGTTGCCGCGCACGTTGTTCCAGCGCGAATCCTCCCAAAGCCGTGGCCAGCACCACCACGAAGACGCGAGCGAGACAGAAACGGGAAGTGGACCAGGGGAAATAAATTAGAAGCAATATAAGTATATTGCAAGTCGCACGCGAATCCTACTGAAATCAGTGTTCCCGTCGACTTGCATTACCGAAGTCTTCACCTTGTCGAGACAACTTCGTGCTGCATGAACACGAAGAAATTTGCAGTCCTGAATGTATCTCACTGAATCATCACAACAGCAATGGCATCAAACATCAATAAGAGCTGTTGAGCGAGACCTTGGCTCGCTTGCCGGCCTCGCCTATTCAAATCCCTCTTCGACTGTCCTTTCTAAGCAGCATGCAGCGCAAGCTCACCTCAACATTCTACTCCCAAACAACCAGCCCCCAAAGTACTCAACGAGGTTCCGACATCCACCCCTCACGTACCAAACCCCGACTACCGGGCCCTGAAACCCTGGTCCCTGAACAAAACCTCCATGCCCGCCAGCAGTCTCTTTGCAAGCTCCACCAATACGGGTTATCCGCACACCACGCGACACCTGACATGATGCTTATCACAATGAGTGCGTGGTCGATCTTTCCGGGGACCGGCTGTCCGCCGACTCCCATGCGGCCGTTCCCCCGTGAGAGAACAGGCAGCCCACGCAACAGCACTCAAATTGTACCAGTTGCCCTGTTAGGCGCGGCGGGCCTACGGGTACGCGGGAGGGAATGAGGCGAGTGATGATGGTGTGGGATATTGGTTGCGCTAAGAAACTATATATAGATGAACATGCAGTTATCCGACGAGGATGAGGCGAGCCTTGGGGTTGTGCAAGGCCTCAGAGGGTTTAAGTCTCGGTGAGAACTTCTCTGTCTCAGAGGGTGAAGTTGGGGCTTGGGCGCGTGCGTGGGAGACCGCGGCAATTTCCTCGCCTCTCCACATGTGCTCATGATGAATGCATGGGTAGGTCAAGAGGAGGAAGGCATACCTCGCAAAACCGGTGAGCAAGGCTCCGATAGGTAGGTTACGAGATAACAGGTTTCTCTCACGAGTCGGCGACCTATTGCTTCCCCTGAGTCTGAACAGATGATGGGCGTGATGCAGCGAGTAATGGGTAGTCCCTCAACGGGCAGGTAGCGCTTCCGCCGTTGAGGTCCAGCGTCTTGCAAGACTTGTCGTTTATTGTTGTCAAAGGAAAATTTGTTCAAGATCTACAAGGCCTATGGCCATTTCGTCAATCTCTGCTTCTTTGAGACTGACATGCTGGCTTGTGATGCCGAGCGCTGTCATGATTTGTGCTCCCACTTTCCCGACTTCTGAGCGTTACGCCCGATGAGCAGAGTGTGGAGAGCTGGAAACATGCCACTCGGCTTCCCCGGTTAACCATTCATGGCTCATCTCTGGCTATTCTTATTCAGCTTTATCACTTTCAGCTCAATAATTCTGTTTGGGTTGTCAGTTCGGCCGCTTTCTATTTGCCGTCAGATCCGAACCCAGGAGGGTGGAGACAGTAGCTCGCGCGAATGCGGCTCAATGTTTACGACTCTCGCAGGCGACATGCCGTTCCTCTAGTTCCCTCCCCAATTCAGGGCTGTATGGTATTCTCGGTCTTACCGTTCAGAATGAGAACCCGCCTTCACCTCGGCTGGGGGAGAAGCCTCGTCTCTTACAGATTCTCTTTAGAAACAAGTGCTTGCACTCTTCTTTGTCCTCTATGTTAGCCCATGCAATGGAGCACCACAAGGACCTAATTTACGATAGAAGTAGCGTTTCTATAACTGCCTCTCTAAAAGTAGTAAGCGATTAAAAAGATGAACTCTACCTATATCCGTACTGTGCAGAGTGCAATAACGCGATATAGCAGTTCAGGTGGCGCCTACTTGACTAATGAAAATTCCACTCACAAGAACATAGTCTCATAAAACGGCCGCGAGCTGCTGCCCCAGACACGAACGATGTTATCCCTCAGAGTATTCTAGATATGTGGATGACACATACTTGAAGACGGTCGAGGAGTGCTGCGGAAGACTCGTTCAAGCAAGTGCGGTCTCACCAGCTGCTTTGGAAAGATCCCTCCGGGTTGACGTTGCATTTCACGGCTTCGCTGACCATGGTGGAAGGCCTCAAGGCATTGGCACAACCTTCCATGGTAGCTACCGTTCATGTCCCATGTTAGTAAATACGGCGGAACATATTAGCATTTGGCCATTCTCTTGCTTTCTCTTAAGTTTACCTTACCCCAGCAGCACTTTCAGTTAATTAATCCACCCTGTAAGCGTCCTGCAGTAGGCATCATCATACTATATGGAGTTTCACATTTTGACTGCAATTAGGCTTTTGGTATATCTGCTCTGTATCCCTTTCAACAATAGAAACCGTGAAGTGACGACACGACGACACAGCCATTCCTTTGGAAGCACTATGGGACGCTCATAGAAAATTCGCACGTTAAACCAAGAACGATTTTACCAAAGGCCATACATCTTTTTCTTTCATAAAATTCGACAGCCTGTTTTCACCACTTCGTTTCGGGCATCATCCTGTCCACACCAGCTTTCCAACCATTGTCCTTTCCTCCGTGCCGAATATGAAAAATGCTGCGATATTCGTTGCTCGCATGTCCGAACCCGGTAACAGCAATTTCCTTGCGTGTAAGAAAGCAACAGGATTGTTGACTCACAAACTTATATTTTCTATCTAGAAGCTCTGTCCTTGTCTCTCCGTCGTCTTATCACGATCTACTAAACGAAGAGCATTCAAGTCTGACATCGCGGGAACCCCAGGGAGCTAAATACGATGGGGGGCCAATGAGGAAGCAGCGGACCGGTGATGTGGTGAAGGGGGCCGGAGGTTGATAGATGCGGAGGCAGGTAACTTCGGACTAGAAATCATGCCATAGGTGTGGTGTGTTGAATAGTAATTACATTATAGATTGTGTACCTCGTGAGCGCTCTATCGCGTCACTAAAAGACCTGACTGCAACCTTCGTGGCTCAGGTAGTAGGAGTAGGCCTCTATTTATAGTTCTAGAAGGCGGATGTTCGCAAGGAATCTAATGGGAGATATTGATCATTGTTCTAAGACTTCTTTATATGAACTCGCCTCTACCACATTTTTGGCAGCTTCTTTAGTCACGGTGAATTGTGTCGCATGGTGTGACGGTTCCAGTGCAAAAGAGGGAACCCAATCGCAATACTCAAGCACTAAAATCTCCTTAATATCAGTGTCGTGCTGCGCTCCACATATTTCTTTTCAACGCACATCTTCGCCGTCGTCTTCATAGTTAGCCCCGACACACAATTGATGGAGACATCTATCTCCCTCCGCATTGACGTCCACCCCAGCTAACCACACATAAACCTGTCTAGAAGTTTAAAGGCCGCTAAAAAGAAGCAATTGGCCCCCGCGAAGCGTATTGCCTTTGCTTCAACCACTCAGCTCTATGAAGGTGTCCTGAAGAAGCTCATGCTTCATGCGGAGTTATTTACATCCTACTCTTATTGCTGACTACAACTTCGCAATATACCTCAAAGGGCTGTAAGTTGTTCTGTACAGCTCCAGCTGCATCTTCAAGGGCTGAGAAAATCTTCGTCCGAGTGTACTAACTCGCCCTGTTCATTGGAAATGATCATTTATCTCTGCCTCGCTGCGATGCACTTACCACTTTCCTAATGCAGCACGGAAGTCGGATCGAGTAGAATTAAGACATTCCTAACAACACCACCAGTTATTTGAAGGATTGCAGTTTTTGAATGCTTGAGGTAGCCTAAACCTATTGATAGACTGTGGTCTTCTTAATCGAATTAACCCAAATTTTTTACATCCAAATTGTAGTGAAGCCTTCCCATCCAATAGCAGAATAGTAATTACCTGTCGGGGAGAACATAGGAGCCCGAATGATCCGCAACCATCACGATAAGCCCATTCTTCTTTCCCTAAGCTGATGCATTGGGGAGGTAAATAGTTCAGGAACTTGTGGACGTCAAGCACCGACATGGGAACGCCGAGGAGATATAAGTACAGCAGCCAATGGTACCGAAATTTGGAAAGGAGGGAGAAAAAAACCTTATATTCCCAAGCGCCTTGTCACCCATCCGAGACTCATTCGCTCGGGGTGGCGTATGCTTCAATGTTTGTTGCGTATCAAGATTATCCTCCAAGTAGCTGCATGCGAGATATGAAACTCCACAAGAAATGCACAGCGAAGAACAAGGCAAGAAATATGCCTTAGGGCAATGATAAAGACAGGCCAACAAGAAGTCTACGCCAAAAGACGCCAAGGGATGCTTGTTCCACCCAAATATCCTTCGATGAACGAAGGCATATATCGTCTCGAAAACGCCAGGGAAATGGCAGGCAACAGTAATGTGCAGGATGCAAATGAAATCCAACCAAATCCAAGAGTGGGACCTGAAGAACCCGTCGCCCGATGAAGGCTAAACAAAGGCTCAAAAATGCACTCCCCTCATTTTTTTTTCCAAGTATAGACATCCAAAACCGCATGATATGAATGGCAGATCCACACATTCGGTGTCGAAGAAAAGGACAACTCTATCCCAATAGCTTTAACCAGCAACAACCCCTCATGCATCGTGCATTGCACTAAAGAATAAGAAACTGCTTAGAACATCCTTTGCGGTTTCAGTTCGATGTCTCCACCCTCGCCCCTCTCCCATTTACGCCATGCAATCTCATATGCTTCTTCTAGATCTCTGACCCACCTCCTCGTATCGAACAATGCGCTGGTCCACCTTGATTCGTACAATAGCTTCCTCAATTGACTTAGTCGTCCGGTAGCGCGGTGGCCGGTGTATACGCACTCCTTCCCTAGACGTACAGCCTTCTCTTCGTAATCTTCCTCACCAGTAGCAATAAGATCCTTCGCAGCTTGTGCGCCGTCCGGCGACTTCGGCAATGCACCCTTGAGAATCGAAGCGGCCATTCTTGAACACATCTTATACTGATATCTCGGTAAGGTGAGGAGGGGTGTTCCGGACCAGAGGACGTCGGCAGCGGTCGTGTGAGCATTGCATTCTGGTGTATCAAGGAAAAGATCACAAACACGGGCGCGTGCGATATGTTGATGCTTTTGGGCGACGTCAGTAAATAAGACGCGAGAAGCGACTTCAGGTCCAGCCCAAGCATTGGCAGTCTGTTTAAGATTTGTTTCCCCGAGATCGGGAAAACGGAGCAGCCAAAGAACGGCGTTTGGTAGTTGGGCGAGAATGCGCAACCAGGTGCGGAATGTTGTTGGCTCGATCTGACACCATGTTAGAATAAAAAAATTGCTACAGGTGTTGCAATTCTTACCTTGTATAACTGGTTGAAATTACCGAGGATGATCGCGTCATCTGGTAGGTTAGGAAATATCTCTTTCCGCATACGCCACCTCCTCTGCTGTTCATCTTCCCAAGTGAGCTGGCGTTCTTGAGCGTCTGGCGCGCTTTGTCGGTGGTCACAACAGAAGAATGTATCGCGGCAATAGATGATATTCTCCCCATAGACCCAATTGTCGTCATCCCCTCCGCTATTTTGATCCTCCAGCAGATCCTCCATATCGATGTTGCGGCGCCACCCTCGGAGGGTCTCTCTTGGAACCGCTGTTGTATCTGCGAGCAGGTAGTCGCACCACTCGGCACCAAGGGTACCGGCGAATCCCATGAATGACATCTGTATGGGGGCTGGGCGTGCGGCGAACACTTCATTTCTTGCACCACGAGTGTACCCGTTGAGGTTGATCAGGATGTGGATACCGTCATGAATGATTTGATGGACAAGGCGCTCTGGCTGCCAATTGGAGGCGTCGTAGAAGACGGGGGCTTCCCTCTCAATCTGCTGGCGATGAATAGACCCATCACTGGCCGTGGTAGCATAGCAGTAAGCTTTGACGCGAGATGGATTATGGAGACCGAATACTGACTGCATTAGATGTGCAAGTGGATGGTTGTTGAAGTCCGATGATACGTATCCGACCTTGAGATGTGGATTCGGAGGTGAAGGAGGAGCGAAGACATTCGTAGGCAGCCAAGGTGCCCTGAGGGTAGAACACGATATCCGGAGGCCGTTTCGTTGAGAGATGAGACGGATCTGCTTCGCGGACATGGGACAAGTGAAAGTGTGGAATGGAAGAACCGTTGGCGCTGCCGGAACCGTTAAGGCGGAGGGGAGGCGAGGTCTCCTGTAGCTCCCTGATGAGCGTGGCTGACGTTTGACGTACTTATCCTGGTACCACTGCCATGTGATCCTCCGGATGGCGCGTTCAACAAGGCGGACGATCCGGGCACCCTCCCACTTCTGACCCTGCCATTTGACTAGCGTTCGCCTCATTTTCTCCTGCTTCTCATTGATGTTGTGTGGGTCCGCTTCATCTAGCGCGAGGGGTCGAACTATGTCCTGTATGAAACGGTCGTCCATGATCCCACGGCCCCAATCTTCGCCATCTCCGAGTTGCTTTTCTACAAGATCAACAACACGTTTAATCCACCCAAAGCTGGAAGCGGCCTGAACTCTAGCATCAAGTAGAAGGCCCTTCTCATCTACATGCCAGCGATCCCGAGAGCCACCGTCATTAGCAATTCCCCCTCTTCCATTCCAGCCGCAGACCGAGTTCAAGGCATTCGCAAGACCACATACAGCTTCAGCGAAATCCGGACTCGCACTAACAGCTCTCTTGTAGTACAGAATAGCGTCACTGATGCGACCTTTATCCTTGACTGCGTTCGCGAGATTGGCAAGAGCTATGTCGAAATTTCCATCGCAGGCTACAGCTTGCTCATACATTTGAATGGCAACATCCAACTGGCCGATATCCTTTAGTAGGCTTCCTAGATTTGTGTACAGGTGAGCATGCCGAGAGTCAAGGAGCAGTCCATAATTGTAGTATGCCAGTGCGAGAGCAATGCCACTACCAGGAACCAATCCGGGGATTTGAGGTTTAGGGATCGGATTCGATACAGGAATATGTCTGGAAGGAGCGTACTGTTGTACACTAGCGAGAAGAATACCGACATTATTGGCCGTGGAAGGGCTCGGCTGTAACGATAATGACAGATAATACAACGCTAGGATTTCCCTAACACCGTAAGTAGTCTGATAAGCGGATGCTTTGGGTGAGTTCGTTGCCATTCCATCTTGGAAGATTTTCGCAAGAGAGAGAAGGGAATTGCTCGTCGTCGAAACAGCTGCCTTCCTGGCCATACCCTCACTTGGAACATACTTGAGGCCTGGTAATTGCCCATGAGGCGGAAAGCACAGCTGGGAGGTCTTTAAAGCCGGTTCTGGATGAAGGAGAATTGGGTCCGTGGACGGAGGAATGCGATGACCCCCAGAAGAACGGTCCGCTGCATCGTACCCCACCACAGAGAGGATGTGTTTGATAAGACCGCCAATCCCTTGGATCTGAGTCCCAGCTCCAATAAGCACAGCATTCTCGAACGCCTTCGCCGCACCCGCGTTATCTCCAAGAGCATAGAGCATGTTACCCTTTGCATGCACGAGCGCAAGAATACGGCCGTTTTCGGATCCGGGAATGGCATACCCACTCAAACCGAAACCAGGTTGGTCGGACCCAGGAAGTTCATCCATATCTTTGAAGATTGATTCGCTTTCCCCGTCGAATTCGAAGACTGGTTTGTCCGAGGCCTCCGATATGCTTGGAGACTGGCTTACAGAGTTCGAACGGTCACTCTGAACATCAGCATTCTTGAGAGCCTCGCCTTTCTTGATAAACTTGAGGGAGCGTTCAACTTCCTCGATGACTTGGACTGCTTCTTGACCTCGATGATCACTGCACAACAAGCCAATGAGATGTTCAACAGCCTCGAAATAGCTGGGGCGAAGTTTGACAGCTCGCCTCCAGTGCTGCTCGGCTTCTCGTTTCTGTTGAAGAGCGAGTAATGTCGCTGCGAGGTTTGATGTTGCTTCAACGTGACTATCAATACGTTAGCAGACTAGCTCGTAAAGATATTTATGCGGAAACTTACTCTTTATCTAATGTTAGGATATGCTTGTACCAGTCTTGGGCCTTCTGATAGTCACCCAAGGCATACGCAAGACACCCACCCAAAAGAATGCCATCTATCCAATTCCATTTGCTCTCTTCACAGTGTTTGGTAATGGCGTCTAAAGCAGAGGCAGCCGTCATACTTGGCGGGACCTCATGGCGAAGGCTCTGATGTACACTTGTAATGGAGGTCCCGGACATTCGGCGTAATGTGCGCGTCGGATCCAGACCCTGGCCCTGCCCATGTAGCCCATGTGAACTCGGGTACTGCTGCTGTGATTGCGGTTGCCAGGAGCGTCTATGGGGGTCCGGGTCTCGAATTTCCCCTCCACTCAATGACCATAGAGAGGATGACCGATGGTGAGTAGAGTCGTTTCTCCTATGGGATGAGCTATGGGCGTCTTGGGGTGCGGGTTGGTGTTTCGAGCCTGAAGGGTATGTATTATGGCGTTCAAGTGTTTGGGCACTACCGGTGCTGTTCGAGGAACTGGAAAAATTCGCAGCTGGTTGTCGGGGAGGTTTGGGATAGATGTGGGGTCGAGCATGTTGCTGGGGAGCATTCGGATGCCGACTATGGGCACTGTTCTTACGGGTTTGCTGTAGATATTTCAACAGATCAATATACACTGTGTGTGCCCATGCGAACACCCTTTCTCTTAACTGTGCGTTGCTTGATTGAGGCCCGAATTCGGTGAGTGCGGTCGAGACTGAGGTATGGTCAGGGACTGGAGTTGTTTGACCAGAAGATGATAGAGAAGTGGAGAGGTCTTGATGCGGTCGTTGACTAAATGACAACGGTAATGTTTGACTTTGATAATCCAAGCCAACATGACGCGAATGAGATTGTGGATATGGTACAGAATAGTCGATAGATGGCCTGCCTAAATTGTACGCGTTGGGTGGTACCATGGAGACTTGATGATGCATAGAATACGGGATTTGTTGTATGTTAGTAATATTGGATACAGCGCTGTTAAAAGTATGCCAGTCTCCGGGACCCGTATTTAAGAATCCGCCAGGATGCAGGGCATTCCAATTAGGGCCGTGGTGGGCAAAATATCGCGGATCTCGCATAGCAGCAGGCCTATACGGTATGAAGGTACCATCGTGCCAATAAGGCCCAAATGGGCCTTGATCATTTGACACCGTGGGGCCAAGTGGGCTTTGTAATGAAGGCTCTAAAGCCCCACAAAAATGTTGCCCATACATTTGGTAATGAAGAGGCGGTTGGTGTTGGGGCATCTGGTTTAGCATTGAATCAATCTGTGGCAAAGGGTGGTGGGCGCCCTTCCAACCCTCATGCGCGCGCCCAGAGCCCGTTTCGAAGTATAAGCTTGGATTCCAGTCGGACAGAGGATCCTGCTTCCCCTGATTGAATTCATTGTTCGCCCCGGGAGATCTTAATGGGAGTTCCTGCTTGAGGTTGTAAGAAAACGTGCTCGAGCTCCCTATGCGAGAGTCGGCTGTTACTGGTAATAGGATGTGTTTGGTGGCATGGGGTTTCTCCGTTTGCTCAACAGATGTGCCATCGTATGCTGCCGCGAGTATGCCGTTCGGTGTCTTACGTCGTAGCATATGCTCGGGTGGTTTTCCCCTTCCCGACCCATGCTCCGACGATGAGTCTTGGGCCCCATATGAGTTGTGTCTTGACAGCGGGTGTGCATATCGTTGCGGGATGGGCTGCTGACCGAGGCTTCTCTGATCGAAGCCTGGCGCATTTCGTAGGAGTGAACCATGGGGGGAGGTTGGAAGGTTGTTGTAGGGCCCTAATGAGGGGAATAATTGTGAGTGTGGCTGTGGTTGCGGGGGATACTGTCGGACCATCGTCATGGTGAATGAGAACCCCGGAGCTGTCTCCGGGGTGGGTGGAGGGCCGTCTACAGGAGGATCTGGAAGTAAAAAAAAAGAGTAGAATACCTCCTTCCGAGTTAGAGATGTTAGAAGTGTTGGTTTGGTGTCGCTGACAGGCTAGCAAGAACCACTGCCAAGCGCCGGGATTGTGGTGATGATTGCAGGTGCGTTCGGGCTGGGACGCTCAAGGCAAGAGAGACCGAGACCGAGCCGGAGCAAAAGAGCCAGAGCAATGCCCGCCGTTGAGTAGAGTGCAAGCTAACTCCTCAAAGGACACTATCACCAAGACCGGCTTGTGCCTATGCCTTTGCGAAGTCGTCTCCCGCCTCCTACGCATGACATTTCTTTTCTATCGTCACGAACGCTGCGTGGACCGGGCGTCCCCGTACCGGTATGCCACCAGTAGAAGGACCCGGCAAATGCTATGGTTGATGTGCTTTGGTAGAAATCGTTCCTTCCCTAGCGGACAAATACAGGAAGCACCAGTCGCAAAAGCAAAGACCCGTCGAGACTGGCAGGTGCCGTGTATCGTGCGGAAGGCGAGGGGGAAAAAGCAGACGACGCTTGAGCGACGCTTCGGCGAGGGAGAGTCGGCCTGCAATGCAAGGGCGAGCTGTCAATGTGTGTTGTTCGAAGAGTGAGGCCGCAGCCGAAATGCGTGTGCGGAGCGTGCTGGGTGTATACACACCGGCACCGCACTGGAGGGGCAACGCACTCACTGGATGTTAGAATATCTGCCTTGAGAGCGCTGACCAGGGCGAGATCGATGGGGTGTGGGCTTTGGCGAGGTTCGCAACCGTTGTAGGCGTACAATGACGGGTTTGACGAAGGATGAATGTGTTACGGCGTGTGAAGGGGCGCAGCAGCCTCCACTCTCGGGTCACCGTGAACGTCAACGGACCTTTCGGCCGTTCAAGCTGAGGGCTCGCCGGCGAATGCGATGGGCTTTGTGTGAAGCTCAACGAGGAGGGCGGCGTGAGTTGTTTTTTTACTCAGCGGGATAGGCGGGCTGGTAATGACGAGGTGCTAGATGAGGCGGAGACGCAGCAGGCGGGCAGCAAGCCTATCCTCTTTCGTCCTTCACTGGGAATCGTTCGACTGGGTGGCTTGCTTACCCCCTGTCGCAGCGCCAGAGCGAAAACCTGGCGGCCCTGAGGTCTATAGAGTAAGGGCGAGGAGGGCTCGCAGTGCGGTGAATTGAGGACGGGCACGGGCACAACGCCCCAAGGACTTGGTGTGGGCAAAATGCAGGCAGCCTCTTTCTTGACTCTCACAAGATGTACCCAGGTTGTGTGCTGGATACGTGTTTTCACGCACTCGCAGGTTGAGGGCGCTGGCCCTGGGGCCATGCCGCCTGCCGCATCGTGGATTCATGGCGCGTACACTGCAGCCAGTCGTCAAGGATAGCGGCTGAGGGCAGCGAAACAGGTGTGAAAGCAAGCCAGCCGTGGGTGAGTGGCTTGCATCCTTCCTCCATCACGCCCCCAAGCATTCCACTCAACGGTGATCGCCCCATTAGCCATGCGTGGGACGGCCGGCCGTGAATCAGGCCGCCATCCACCAAGTGTCTCCACAACTCATCAGCCTGTACTGTGCGAGTCCGCGTTGTGGGAAATTCTGCGTCTCGCAATCCCGTACATCATTTCTGAAAAGTCCGTATTTCGGGACTGAAGGCATATAATTTTCTATTATTATGGGCCGCCTGCAGCAGGTCTGACAAGGCACTCGATTGTGAACGGTGGTCCGAGTTTAGGCTAGATTACCACCTGGCCTCTTTTGAACGGCTGCAATGCATTTGCAGCGTTGTGCTGACCTGCCTTGACAAATGCCAAAGTTGGACCTTTTTTTTTTGAGTTTACAGTCAGACAGACATCAGGCATGCGATTTAATAGTTCACGGCCAAGTATTACGCCGAGTGGGCGGACCCAATGCAGTGTTTCATCTATCTGTGGCCTGTGCCGCAATCCTGTCCAAATACAAATAAGACGCCATCGCCTGAAAGTCATAGCGAAACGCTAGGCAGCCTTCAGAACATATGTAGACCAAAATTGATGGATCGCTGAACCCACACCCGGAGGTCGAGAGTACCGCGATGAGTAAAAGGTCTTTCCTCTCCTTTGCACCAAAATAGGCCTATACCACAGTCCAGTCCGAAGAAAGGAAGTAAGGGCCAGAGTGTTGGCAAAGGGTTGTATGTCACAAGTATTGATGAAGGATTATATGAAGGGAAGAACTGATAATAGGCTGCGGTCATGTACTGTTCTCTCTAGGGTGTAGCACAGTTCTGCTGGAGGTAAAATGATTTGAGGGGTCAAAGATGCCCAAACGGTAGGGGGATTCAGAATCGAAAGACCGGGTTGAGGGGAAAACAAGGATCGACGGAGACCAGAGTGCAAGTGCAACTCAACTTATGTTTGCTTCGTTCGGCACTATACATGAGTAGCGTAACATTAGTCGAGGAGGACAAGCCTTGCAGCATTTGAAGCCATGCGAGAGCCTTGCCGTAAGGCCAAAGGTAATCGACAGCCTCTAGCCAACGGCCACATTGAGGTGTGTTCTCGTGAAGCAGATCTTCTACAATGGCGACTGTGAACTCAATGAGCTGGGCCATGGCGTAAACAAAGACGGAACTGGTAACGTCAGCAGTGAGCTGAGAAAGCTCTAAATGGGCTTACCATCACGACACCTTGGGAAGCAGCGTAGGTTGCACCTTGTATGCCCTTCACGTCAACGTCGGGGTTGTTGTGCTGGAGCTCGGAGGTTGTCGATCGCGCAAATTGAGGATGGGAGCGAGCAGACTTTTCAGGATTGGAGCTCGCTTAACCAGATGGGGATCACGTGCATGCTAGATCCCGATCTCGGCACGGATTATCTAATGCCCGCGAACTTTTGATGCGAAAGCGTCGATGTGTCGATGTGGCTTCAGCCGACGTGAACAAAAAGTTCCCCCAACGACCCACCTTCACCAAAACATCTCGAGCACATTCACTCCTTACGGCTATTGGGGCAGTCCTTCATTTTCTCGCGACTTTTAATATCCCGAAGGGTCTCCAACTCCGTATTGCGTCCTAGATTGTCTGTTTTCAATCACCACCACAATGAACGTTCCTCCCCCGCAGCCAGGGCAGCAGCCCACACCTGAACAAATCGCCATGATGCAGCGGCAGCTAGCGGCTGAAGCGCAGAAGCGCGGTATCACGGTCCCTCAATACATCGAGCAACTCAAAGCACAGGCCTTTGAGCAGCACCAGATGCAGCAGCAACAGCAACAGCAACAGCAACAGCAACAGCAACAGCAACAAAATCAGGCGCAAGGACAAGCAATGCCAATTAATCCCGGACCCCCGAATCCCGCTGCCCTAGCGGTCGCAAACTTCCTTAAGTCTCAGGACCTAAAGCCGCGGACTTGTATCCTAGATGAGAAGAGAAAGGACATGTTCAGAGGTCTGTAGAAGGGCTGAACCAAGCACGTCAAATGTTCCAAGCTAACAAATGGCGGTTTTAGTCAAACGAGCGATTCGCGCACTACAAAGCCCCGCGTATGTCAAAGCCCGCTCTAAGAACCCTCTCCTGCCCGAAGTCACCGATCGCGCCAGCGCCGAGAACACATTCAAGCTCCTTCCGCTTTCCCTTCTAGCTCTTCGCGTTTCGAAGGTTGACCCCGAGCATGGCCATGAGGGCCACAACCATGCCAAGCCTAAGCGCGTTAAAGGACTCTGGACCGTAAGAGTCGAGCAACACCAGGAAGCTGAGGATGAACACCACTATGTGTGGCTATACGAGGGTTCACAGTGGAAGCAAAAGTTGTATGCCGTTGGAGCGCTATTGCTTGTCATTGCCGTGGTCTTATTCCCCCTCTGGCCTCTCTTCATGAGGCAGGGAGTGTGGTACTTGAGTATGGGCATGCTAGGATTGATCGGCCTGTTCTTCGGGATGGCCATCTTCAGGTTGATTCTCTTCATCATCACCATGTTTGCGGCCCCACCCGGGCTGTGGCTGTATCCGAACCTCTTCGAGGATGTCGGATTCTTCGACTCTTTCAAGCCAGTTTGGGCATGGCAAGAGGTACCTTCCAAATTCCTCTGAATATCAATGAAGGTCGTCTGACTAATCACTGCTAGACCGCTGAGGACGTCAAGGCCAAAAAGCTCGCAAAAAAGCAGCGCAAGCAGGAGAAACTGGCGGCGATTGCCAGCGGAAAACCGAAGGGAAAGAAGGGTGCGGCTGGCACGTCTCCAGTTCCTGAGCCCGCAACACCTGCCCCAGTCAAGACTGCACCAGTCGAATCTGCTCCCCAACCTACTGGTTCCGCTCCCGCTACAGAGACGGGTACAGTCACCCAGCGCCCCCGACACGCTACTGTCGAGGAAGTCGAGGATGAGTAACTCCTTCAACACTCCATCCTACTTCCTCGGTACGTAGATAATGTCATACCTCGAGTCCCCTCTTTGTTTTCGCATTTAAAGGAGCAGTTTGATGGGCGTTTCGGTGCTTGGGAGGGATCGATATTGGGATCATAATCATGAGCGGAGTGGGAAAAGTTGCCTGGATGGTTGGTTCGCGACTGATGGGTCATTTTCGGATGACAGGCAGGCTGACTGTATTATACTGATCCTCCATTTGTCTTTATAACAACCCTTGCACTTGCGTTGGTCTTGAATCCCGAACGATCTCTGGGCGTACTTCAGAACTCACTCCCCTCTCAATGACGGGTGCGTGTGATGTCTTGATAGAATCCCAACTAGAACAGGAGTCTGCATCTTGTTAGCCATATTGCCAAATCCAGCAACAGTACTCACAGATCAAACCTTCACTGTTAATAGACAGTAATAGATCCTAATGTGTACCAGTGTAAGTAACTACCACCTCTGAGACAGGCTTGACCACAGAAAACCTGCAATGCACATGCTTCCTGCAAGTTAGCATCTATCTGAACGTGATAAGATATGAAATAGAACAAAAATCTCATCGTCTTAGCCACCGAGCTAAACCCAGCAAGAGACCATATAGATTAAATTCTTACTGTTACTACTCTTGCTGAAACAGAAGAAACCACCCCATAGAGGGTAATATTTGAGACCAGACAGGTAACGAGACCAAAGAGGTAGGACGTAGAGATTAACTACCGTAAAACTAGGTCGTGAGGAAGACCACACATAACGCCAAAGCACCAATCCCGATGCCAAAGGTCCCATTTACAAACACCGAAAACCCCAAGAATGCCGTTCTTAGACTCCGAATTTAACCCGTTTTGCCCCTGCTCATATCTAGCGCCGGAATGAAAAGTCGATCTTCACTATAAGAAACCCTAATTAAACGTCTGAAGAGGCGAGGAGATTTATCCCAGATTCCCGGGGGGGAACTCGGTGGTTTCAGAGTTGACGTGAGTGCCTCGCCGACTGAGAGGCGGACTGCTGTGGAGAAGTGATGCGGTTACTGGAGAATGTGTGATTGGGCTTGTGGGGTTCAGTTCAGAGAGTTGACGTTCTAGGATTGTGTTAACTCTAGCAACATCAACGAAGTGCTGGGATGTTAGACACTTACCCAGCTCGCGTATCCTCAGCTTGAGCATTTGATTTTCCCGTGTCAACATCTGCGTCTCTGCTTGGTAGAAGGCGCTTTCATCTCTAGCAGTGCCGGTAGCGGATCCAGGCAGCCACTCATTGCTGTCATGTGGCCCTCCAGAGATGGGTCGCAGTGCTGGTGAGCCAGTATGACTGCTGCCCCGGGATCTATCTGCCATGGAAGAGTGGCGGCTGAGATTGTTATACGTGCCGGTGCCTAGAGGAGACCGAGAGCGCGGCTGGTTTATATTGCCGGGCATTTGCGAAATGTTTGGTTGGGATGGTTGAGTAGATTGAGGCAGTGAAAGTGAACGTTCAGACGTGGGCGTGCTGTCGTCGACAACGGCGGAGGTGGTTCGGTGGGTGTTCTGAAGAGAGTCGATTTGAGCTTGTTGTTGGCGGATCATGTTCAGGAGGCGGTTCTGCAGAACAGTAAGTTAACCTGCACAAGGTCATGCAACCCGTTGAGAGACCATGATCAAGAAAGCTTAAAGCTCGTATTTATTCGGTGCGGGTGACAGGATACGTACCACTTGACCCTCCTGCTCATACTCCAACTCTTGGTGCAACTCTCCTAGAGATGGCGCCCTCTCGTGATGTGGACTCGCTGGCCAAGGGTTCGGGTTCCTAGTTCGCGTGGAAGGGCTCCTTTGCAGCTCGCCTGGAGCTGGTAGAGTAGGGTCATTCAGATTCAGATTCATGCGGATACTAGATCGTCGACGTGCTCGTTCCACATCCCGCCGCATGGAGCCTGACGACGGCCGTCGCGATTCTTCGTTCTGGATGCCGGCGTTCATTGCGGCGGCGGCAGCGAGTGAATGAGGCGGCGTGTGCGAAGCCGGGGGAGACGGGGAGGCGGTGGGCGTGGTTGCGGAGGCCATGCTACGTGTTGTCTGCAGGGGTGAAGCTGATGGGCTGGGTGAGGGTGGGAGAGAGTTGAGGTCTGGCGGCATGGCGTTCGCGCAAGGAAGAATATAAAGAGCGGCGAACGGCTAGGTCAGCGACAGTGTGTAGAGCATAGGCCTGGAGGCGGTTGAGGGCGGCGTAAGGAGGGTGCAGGTGCAGAATCTCGTGTTGTTTTCCGTCGAAGTGGGCAGATGGTGGGGTTAGGAGCGGGGCACATGATGCACATGATGATTGCTCAAAGAACTGGTGGAACTTGCCGCGCGAGCTTAGGACGCAGGAACAAACGCTCCGCCACACCTACACCTGCACAAGCTACATCAACACAACAACGCCTAGGCTGCGCTCTCGACGCCCATTGAAGTTGCGACTGCGCCTGTCTTTTTGCTGCTCGCCGGCACGTCCTGCGCTTTGCCGTCGGCAACAGTATGTCGCAAGCGTGTCGTCGTGGACGCGGGAGCCGTGACCTTCTCCCGCGTGCCCCCTTCCGTTCGCAGCGCGTGGGAACTGGGAACCCGACCTGCATGGCTCGATAGCGGTGTGATCTGCCGCGTGAATGGTTCTAGTCTGTGCTCTGCACATCGCGATGCCTTTTACAGACTGCCGGGTCCCAGGGCTGGAGACGAGGCGCGCCGCGTGAAGTGCTCTATCCCGTTTCTCTGCATCTCTCGCTTGTCGATGCCACCAGTGGACCACCAGAGAGCGCGCTGCGCGCGAGAGCCTTTTTTCGTCAACACTCGAGAACATCGAGCATTGAGAGAGGAGACCTCGTCGGGGAAGTAAGAGGTCTGGGGGCTGTCCAAATCTTTGATATGCTGCGGGATGCAGATTTCCTCCCGAGCCCAACTTTTCCCATGTCTCTGAAAGGAATGTCTTCGGAGGCAGCGCTAGATGTCTCCGCCGCGACCGGAGCCCAAATTGTGGCCTGTGCCTCGATTGGACAATGCCTCTCATCATAATTCATTCCCGGAGGAGGATCAGGAGCATTGCCCACGCCACAGGAGGAATTCAATGCCCCGTTGTTGATCCAGGCTGCTGCAGCTGACAAGCACTCAATCTGGTACTGATTAGCAAACTCACAACTAGGAGCAGCCCATTTTTGGCTTTATACATAAAAAACATTTCGCCAGAGGCCTTCTCCGTGACCTGACCCTTTTCAGAGAACTTACCATTGCAGTCGTAAAACACGGCCAAAACCGCCACCAGCGATAGCTTGATAACCCCCGCCACTCGGCGAATTGAGCTCGGCCTAGTGTGACATGGGGTCGGCGCCGAGTGCTGTTTAGCCTGCTTGGCGGGTGAATAGGGGCCGCACTATGCTCCCAGCGACATCCGAATCACACAACGCGGAAGCGTAAGAAGTTCCCCTGCGGAAGCCCCATGATTACTGGCACATCGGCCTTGTGCGACTCAACGCTCACCCGCGTCACCCACTCCTTCAATCGTCGTTTCTCCAGAGGTTTCAGTCCTTTTTCTTCTCATCTTTCTTCTCACGCATATCTGCAGTCACCCCTCTACTAGGACGCATGTCCTGTACACTCGTTTGATATTGGTTTCTACGGCTGCTATAGCCCCGCGCGGCCATATTACACTCGTTTGACTTTTTGCTTGCAAATTCTTCGCTGCCTCGAACTTTTACGCATTGAGCACGGAACGGGAGATATCCAACCGTTGCGCCGCTGTCAAAGCTCTTCAACACGAAGTTTGTCTAACAGTCGCTCACTTGCTCGTCCGTGGTTTCCTCCATCGAACCTATCATTCGACTTTTTCGCGTCTGCTCCCTTGCCTATACGTTCCTAAAGAGACCTTGTAAATTGCCGCGCAACCAATCTACGGAACTTAGGACAAGCGACCCCAGATATACTACAGTTCGGCCTATTGGCACCTCGGCCACACCACTGAAGTATTGCGCCCCTCATCTATTCTGCGTCCATTCCCTTGGTTATAGCGAACACGTTCATGTATCTTAGCCTCGAAGCGAACCCACCCGGCCGCTAACGCCATGGCTCAAGACGACAAGTCCTGGCTGAATTCCGGCCGCACCTCTCGTAACGCTCTTCACGATGCCACTTCATCATCTCGCTGGCGGCGCAACCGTTCTAGCGCCAACCTGCTTGACCAAGTAGTCGCATCGGCACCAAGTATGGCTCCCTCGAACTCACCATCGACTAAACCTGCACCCAAACTTGAGCGCACTCCATCCAAGATGTCTTTGTTTAATCTCTTCAGCCGGCCGAAGGTGGAGAAGGCCAGAGGGCATTCAGAAATCGGCCTTGCAGTACCGATGGAGCCACAAAAACCACCAAAACCTACCCCTACTTCACCTCCAAAGTCGTCGTTGCGAGTAAACCCCCCTCCGTCTGTCCAGCAAGCGCATCGGTCGCGATCAAGCTCCATGATAAGGCCAATGTCTCTAAAACCCCCGAGCGTGAGGAGACAACCTTTAAACTGGGATCCTCCACCTCTATTTCAAGCCTATCCGCAGTCGATAAAATATGCTACAGTGCAGTCCTGTGTGTTTTCGCCCGATGTTCTGTTGAGAACCCAAAGCCAAAGGAAACAACACAACCTACTTCGGGAGAGGATGGACAGCCATCGTGATCTTTCGGCAACGCTGGAACAAATCCCAGAGACGAAGAAGCTTGAAAAACAACATCGACGCCTCATCTCTAATTCCGTTGTGAATCCGCCGGTACCGGAATTAACAAATAAGGTATACGTCTTAGTCACGTCGGGATTTATGTTGCAGTACTCGGGAGAAGGACCCTTTGACAGACTGCCCGAGAAGGTACTTCAACTCGGGAAAGAATCGGCAGCATTTGCGTGCGACTTAATCCCTGGAAAACACTGGGTTTTGCAGATATCTCAAAGCGCGAATGAGGATGGAACTGTATCTATGGCCCCGAAGACCTCGCTTTTGTCCCGGTTGCGTCTACAGAACGCTAGTGCTAGGAGAACTGCGACAAGTTTTTTATTAGTGCTAGAAAGTGCAGAAGAGATGGATTCGTGGATGACGACTGTCCGGAAAGAGATTGACGCTCTTGGTGGGATGAAGGCAAGAGAAGAGCCCCTGGCAGAGTCTATGGAAGAAACACCCGAGAAAAGATTAAGAGAGAGTCCAAGTCACCGATACCTCGTTCAGCGTGATCCGAGCCGGATCAGCAAACTTGCGCCAGTTGATTCCCCACTCCAGTCACAATATGAGTCGCCAAAGATTGTCGCATCTGATTGGGAAGGAGACCGCAGCGAAAAGTCAGTGAGCGTGTCTGACTCCTCCAGCCTACATTCCTCGAGGCATGGCGCAAAGCGGAAATCCATCGAAGCACCCTCCATTGCAACAGCAGTCTCTCACGAACAGCTCCAGCTAGATCAGCTTCGAGAACGATCGCGATATTCGTACATGTCAAATGCAACATCTGTATCAGGTACTGCTACAAGGAACACGTCTCGAAATTCGTCGCCGGCTCCAAATTCTCCGCACAAAGAAGGATTCGTCGCCGCTGATACCGAGCCCCTCCGAAGCGCAACGTCCCTCAGATCGTTTCACATGAACCCCAACAACTCCACCACGAATCGTCGGCGATCCATGCAACCTCTTCCCATCACCAATGAAGACAACTCTCTATCCGCTGGCTCACGGTGGCCAACCCCACAGCGGCATTCCATTTACGGCCCCACCTCACCGACGATTAACAAGCCGGAGCAGGAACTCAATGTCCCGACGTCAACAATTCTCAACCGCCCCACGAATGCACGTTTCAGTCACGCACCCATACGATCGAGTGCAAGGAGCTCGAGTGCCCCTCCTGCGAGGAATGGCACTATCTCACCGCCTCCGCGAGATCCTGCACCTGATCCCGCGCCAGTGGCAGGACGCCCTCAATCCACAATTGGAAGTCTGCCAACGGCTGCCGCAGCTTCTGCTCGTTTAAACCGGCTATCGCAGAACCCTAAACCTTTCCTTAGACCATTCCCAGTGCGACCTCAGAACACGGATGGTTCAGTCGTTGTACCCCGCCGCTACTCTTCCCTTGGCCCCGCGCCCATTCCTCTTGGTATCATAGTCAATCGCTCCGTAACCGCTTCCGCAAAACCTGCAGTGGCACCAACATCTGCGCCGCAAACCGAAGTGAAGGCCACGCCACCGGCACCATCCTTACGCCGTCCTACCAGTGTTCAAATCAGGTCGGATCCTGCTCCTTTCTTATCTTCGTCTCGGCCCGTAGCCGCTCCACGAGCCATTGCAAGTACACCATCTTTTGTCCCTGGCAAACGAGCGTCTACAACACCTAATATTTACCAAAGCCCTTCGATTCCTGCGCTAAGGCAACAAGTATATGCGCAGACACAACGTGGCGTTACTCCCAGACGGTCAATGCCAGTGATGGGTCTACCCCCGCCTGTGCCTCCACCTAATATGCCTCTACCGCCACCGCCTCCCGATTTCGCACGAGCGGTCGTGGTATGAGATTTATGCACTCTTTATTCCTCTCCTCAAAAGTCGGCTTCTGGCGTTTTTAACTCGGCGTTTTTATGGTCTAGGGTTGAAGACAATTGTATGGCGAACCACTACAGGGAAGGTATCACGTCTTAACGTCATGGCTCTACTTTTCTCATTCGCTTCCATTGTGTACTGCTATGATACCTGTCTATTTCCTTGATTCCCCATGTTCTATTCTTACGCTCTATTTTTGGCATATTTTCTTTTTACAGTCTACCATTTTTGGGATTAGCGCTTGTACAACATACTATCCACAATGCTTTTCATGCGAATAACGTGTTTAGGAATCCTAGCTTGTGGCTTTCCCTTCACTTTATCACTTGCTTCTGCTCTTGCCTAGCTAGCTACCAACCAGCTGTGGCCCTGAATCTCGGCGAGACTCTTCCCTGCCTCGGCTGGCCTTTTCACTGCTGTTGCAAATAGCCGCGGTTGTCCCCGCAACATTTTTTTTTCAATCTATATCCCACATACATGCAGCAGCCTTTTTTTCTTTCCTTTTTTCCTCCAGCTTCTCGGCAGAATGCAAAGACGGTCGATTGATGAGGATGTGCACATGCATGCATGATGCGCATTGCGCAGCGCAGAATATGCGCTCCAGTTAGTGTACGTAGTCGTTAGTTGCTATGATATGAAGAAGTTACATAATCATGACTCTTTGCGCTATTGTAATGGCGAGCGGATGACGTGTTTGTTGATGGGCGCCCATCGGTTAACGTTTAGTGAAGTTAAGATAATGCTGGATCGCGGAACCGTAGGCTGGAAAGAGAGTGTTTGCGCTATGGACAAGCTCGAAGGGACCCGGCCATCAACCGATCAGCCATATTCCTCAGTTCGTTGGTATTCTTTCTACAATGCTTTGTTCAAGGAAGCCGGCTCCAAAAGAACGAAATTGCTTCAGACTGTGGTCTTTCTTTAGAACATCTACCGTCATCCTAACCCCTTTAGCACCAGCATCTACCAAACTTAGATTACCCTATCCACTCTACCCCGCACCACCGATGTCACACAGCCTCTGCCTATGCCTCCGTGATACGAATCGTGAACAGTGCCTCACCACGATGCCATGGCCCTCCTACGATATTCGCATCCGAGCCCGAATTTAGACACCCATCGAAACACCAGTTGCAGGATTCCTCAGTTTCCTCTCTTTGAAACAACCATTCATGGATCTACTGTACATATGGCCAACTTTGTGACAAAGAAGCAGAGTCCGTTAGATCAGGTCTACCTCGAAATCCTTTTGGTAAGGAGCATTATGATCGGCGTTGCATTAGAAGGGATTGGGAAGGAGCGTACGGTTGGCCTTCGCTGTTGACTTGCTTCGAATAAGAGCTACAGGGAGGGGTAAGAAACGAAACGAGAGACAAATGCAAGGAAATTTAAAGCGAAAGGCAGTGCGAGGGACAGCGCAACAGACAAAACTAAGAGAGACTAGGACTCTGCACGAACAGCAAGATGGGATAGATGCTAACGTTCTCTACCAACGAACCAAAGGTTTCTGTATCCGCTAACCCTAAATGCTTCCATTTCCCTTCTAACGCATAAACATCTTTACAAAACTCTTTACTCTCATTCATAAACAATCCAGCTGTTATCTGACTTGAGGTGATAAGAGAGTATTATTCGAAGACATCTTTGCGTGGTGAGGTTGTATTCAGGAGTACCTGCAGCGCGAAATGCAGACACTATGCCCACAGGTAGTCAGTTAGCCGTAAAACAGGTACCGATTTTGACCAGTGTAGGAGGTGTTGGGAGGGTTGTCGTAATCGCATATGTAACAGTGCCAGTCCTGCCTCACAAGGTCCGCCTTATAGCAGTCAGGATCCGGGCATAGGTTTGAATCGGCAACATCGGTGATAGTCCTCCCATCCAGGCCGCACATAGTTTGCCTTCCAGTTGTGGCATTGATTCGCGCTCGAGGACAATACGCAATGATATGGATTAGATGGATACTGGGAGAAGTTTTGATATCTTGAAAGGCGGACCGATATGAAAGGCTGAGTTCAACTTTCTTCTGAAGCCGAAAGATTTACGGAGAATCACTCTCTTTTATACGGCTTTTTGTCGCCCACTTTAGCTCTGAGCAGTCACGAAACGGATAGATACAGTCCTCCAGTCTAAATGTATCTGTCCAATTAGCTTTTGATGCAAACCTGTGGTTCTAAGAATCTTAATCAATCTCGGCGCTTCAAAGAAGCAACTTCAAGGTGACATGATCGTTGCCAATTATCTAATATTGACGGCTATTCGTGCCGGCGGCGTAACATAATAAAGTTAGGTGGGTGTCTGTTACGACGAAGGCCGTTTAACAGCGAGTCATAACATTTCAGAATTTTGTTCGTGCCAGTGGCACATCAAAATGCGAGCTCGTAGTCGCCTATGGGGATTCGAAGAGCGGCTAACTATACCCTCAAACGTTTGAGAATCATACAGGTATTCTTTCCCCATGAAGCCATAGCAAATAACATGGTGTAGCTGTGATATAGCTAACCTAGATGTGTTCGATATGAAACAATAGTCGTGGAAAGTATGCGAATTGAGAGCGAGGATAACCGTAACTCATGACTAAACCAAGCATTTGGCCATTTAATCCCGCTAGCAACCGCACCGGATTCTCTAGTAGACTATCTATCTCTGGGACGGGGCAGGTCCCAATTTCGAAGTAACTTGCATTGTCATCCTACAGACAATCCAGTGAGATATGCCGCTATACGCTGAAGACCCTGCAAATCGCCTTCTTGAGTATTTATTAACTCCTTATCTACCCAACCATGCGTGTAACCACCTCCAAAATCAACCAAATATGCGTCATCATGCATGTCGATAAGAACGTTATCAGGCTTTGCATCTCCCCAGACGATTTGGCGTGCATGAAGCTCTTTTAGAGAATGTGTTATCTGCTTCAGCCATTTGTCGTGTGACGCGCGCTCGCCAGCCTGTGCCGCACAGGACAGTGTCATGTTCTCGCAATCGATATACGACAGCAGCAGTCCAACGATCCTTGAGGTGTGCTCATCTTCTACTACACCAAGGAGACGGGAAACGCGCACGTCTTCGCCAAGCTTAGCCGCATTAATCTTGGTATAGGTAGCGAGCTCCGTAACTGTCATGCCAACGTCACCCGCCAGTATCTGCTTAAAAAAGCAGACATCCTTTCCCTTAATGTACACCTTACAAGGGTTCGTTGGTAAGGCCACCACATTGTCGTTGAGCCGCACGTGGATATCATTAGGACGGTAGACTGGGAGCGTACTCTTGTCGAGCGTTTTGGAGGCAGGAAGTAGCACACCAACCAAACGACTATCTGGGTTGACATCGCGCGGGACCGGAACCAACTCATCGCCAGCCACCTGTAGGGTGTATACGAACTGTTCAGGAAATAGACAGTCTTGGAGCGTGTACAATCGATCTCGGTCTAAAGGCGGGATTTCGCGGAACAGAGCAGCAAAAGGTTTCGTGGCCCAGTCGTAGAATTCTTCCAGAGGGTCGACAAATTCATTGTCATCAGAATCTTCTAACGACGGTGGTATGTACGTTGGGTCTGAGCGTTCAACATGAAGCAGGTACTCCTTCAGCAGCTTTGGATTGGCCTCAAAATTTGTAGTGAAAAGGTCGATGCGGAAGTGCTTGTCGCCTACAGAGACATTTAATTTAACGTCTGTGTTGTGCTCGCTGCTCCAAGTAGCTCCGATTTCGTACGTCGGTCTGCTGGCCATGACCAGCTGTTTAAACAAAGTTCGCTTGGGTTATGTAAATCGGAACTATTTTGATTGAGATTGGAGCTCAGACAAGACCACATAAGAGGCAGAGCTAGAACAAGGGTGTGCTGAAAATTGAGAGGCGTCAACAGTACAAGAAGAGGTTTCGAGAAAGGGGATAGTGAGAAGACAAAGCTGAAAACAGCTTTGAGGAAAATAGCGGGATGGTAGGCAATTTCGAGTTGGGAGGGCAGCCACAGGATATATGCATGCAGTGAGGTAGCAGCATCACATATATCTGGGCGCTAAAAATTATGGAGCACCTACGATTGCAGAGAAAATCGACTTCATTAAAATTCACAAGAGTGCAGCGAATGCAGGAGCAATATTTTCCTAAAGGCCTTCAGATACAAAAAATTTTCTTGTCCGCATTATGCATTTTGAGAAATCCAGGTAGTCTGGTTCACTTTGGACAGAAATCGGATCTAAGTTTTCCCGGTGCCAACAAAATAGCGGGCTTGGGGGCTGACATTTCGAACTCAAAAACCCTCCAGATTTGGAGATGTCTAAGCTAGTCCAATATCGTTTATAACGACATGTTGCCAAAAGGACAAAAAGATTTGTAAATAAAAAAGTCCTCTGGAAGTGTTCGCTTCAAGCTGTGAATGTCTTTATGGGTTCATTTCCTAAGGAGCGGACAGTTATTTACAAAGCTCTCCAGCAAAATTGGGTATTATGACGGCGCTGAGTGCTACATGGTCGTCGATGAGCGAACGCAGAATGCTCGACGAGCAGTGATCAGCAGGGCTGATTCGTTGATATTTCCTATTTAAGTAGGCAAGGTGCAGGAAATACTCGCCTAACGCGCCTAACCCCACAGGGTTGGCACGTTGGGCGAGTACCTGGCAATAACCAACAACCTGTGCCAATGATTAGTTCTCATTCATCCTTTTCATAAACCCCAGCCAACGCGAACTCCAACCATCCCTCTTCCACGTCACGGGATATGGTCGCACGATATAGGCGCCGCTCTCCACCCACCTTCAATCCACCTCTCTATCTCGCAGAATCCGAGACCCCCACGATCGATAATCCCCATATGCCCGAACTACGGCACCCAAGTTCACGTAAACGTCAACATTCAGAGCCGCCCCTCAGCCATTCCAGCGGATCTCAACCACCGGCGGCATTTTGGGATAACTTATTGAACATCTAGTTGACCAAGAGAGCATTAAGAGAGCTAGACTAAATGTCTGTACGCAGCAGCAGCGTCACAGTCTGGATACGAGCGATCGCGCACGAGCAGGACCACGTATCTCTGTCACATGATGCTCGTGCGCGAACCTCTGTGCGCAAACATCTAGATATCCCCCTTTTCCTCTGTACAGAGGAAAGAAAAGAGCAATAGAACTAGAAATATGTTACCCTTACTTTACCTACTTTATACACTGTGCACACTGTACACTACTCTTACTTTTACTACTTAACTACTTATACTATAAGCAGCTAGCTATTAGAGCCTATTTAACACTAATTAGTAGTTAATTTAATTAACTATAAATTAGTAAAAGTAATAATAAAGTACTTACACTTTATAAGGTACTTTATTTTATTACTTATCTTTTAAGAAAAGTAATAGCAGAGTACTTACACTTTATAAGGTACTTTATTTAGTTACTTATTTTTTAGAATAGTAAATTAATTCTTTACATTATATAGTAAGCTCTGCTACTATATAAAGTAAAAAAAAGATAGTGTAAGACGCACACTAAAGCTACTAAAGCTGCACAACTTAGTAGCTAAATAATAGCATATTAATCCTTTACATTGTATAGTAAGCTCTGCTACTATATAAAGTAAAAAGAAAATAGTGTAAAGCGCACACTAAAGCTATTAAAGCTGCACAACCTAGCAGCTAGATAATAGCAGTACCTATATAATTTACTAAAAAAGTAATTAACTATACTATTATAATAAAATTTTATTAGCAACTAACAACTTTATGTAATAATAAAAAAAATAAGAAATAATTTTTATTAGTTATATAAATAACTTATAAAGAATATAAAGATATTAAAGGTAACACTATAAAATAAAACTAGCTTAGAGTACTAAAATAATAAAATTAACATGTTAAAAGCTTTAATAAGCTTATAAACTTAATTATATATAAGTTACATAATTACTAATTTATGCATAATAACTTAAAAAAGCGCTACTTTTTTAAGTGTATATATAAAGAATTTTAAAAAATAGACACTATAAGACTTTTTAGCACTTAGCTATATGTTTAAAAGAGAGCTTATATAAGTGCTAGAGAATAAAAGAATTACACTATAGCTAAGCACTAAAGGTACCTAAGCCTAGAAGCTATATAATATAGCATAAAAAAAAGTAATTACACTAAAAAAGCTTTATATGTAACTTTTATTACTATATAAGGCTCTACATAGAAGCAGACTAAACATAATGCTACTATTAACACTAAATATACTAGCATTACCTGCTCTTACACCTTAGCTAGCACTACACTAATTACTATATAAATAATACATGCTACTCTACCTAACGCCTGCTCTACACCCTTAATTGTACACACCACCGCCTGCAGTAGTGTATACACTACTAATACCACCTGCACAATCTATACTACATTACAGCCTGTACAAACTTCCACCCTAGAAAGAAACTACTAAAGAAAAACTTTTAGTAGACAAAATTATATAATTTTAAAAAGCATAAAAAAAAATAATAACTACATTGTAACAGCGCAGGCAAGACAATGGGTCTAAATGCGGTATAAATCTACTTAGAGGCATATAGGAGTGCGTGGGGACTTAGAGACCTAGGAATACTAATGACACCTATAGGCCTTGTACGTAGGATATCAGAAAACTACCGAGCTAGCTACAGGGGCGAGGTGCGACTAAATACATGAGGGAATAGGGGTAACAGCAGGGGTCAGGGCCAGGTCAAGGTCGGGGCTGATACAAGGGCCTTCTAGAGGTTCCAGGCAACTCAAGATGGAACAATTCATAAGGATTGTTACATATATAAGTTAACTATATAACATTTTTATAAATAAAATAAGAATTTTTATTAATTTATGTTAATAGCTAGATATCTAGGAAACTTAGTACATAGACATCTTTCTAGATATCTTAAAAGGTTAGGCAAATATGCACTATATGTATAACATAGGCCCTAGAAATAACTAGAAGCATTTATACAACACTTTAAGCATTATAATAAAAGATTTTATGTAAAAAGAAAAAAAAGAACTATAAAAAGTAAAGTTTTATATAAAAAGTAAAACTATCTTAGTAAAAAAGCAGCTTATTAAGTTTAATAGTAAAAGAATTAAACTTACGCATAACATAGTAGTTTTTACTTAAAAGGGATAAGTAAGCTACCTTTATATAATTAACCTAAAGAATAAAGATGCTGCATAATAATATGTTAAGTAATATGTAAAAGAAGTATACATTATATTTATGTGTTAACTAGAGGCAGCATTTAACCTTTTTATTACTGCACAAACTTGTCAGATATGCGCACCTACTGTCGAGACAGGAGGAACGTTTGACGAAAGCTGCTACATAGTACGAGCAATAAGCTCGAACAGTATG